AATGATAATTTAAATGGTTGATTAATTATTATATTTAAATAGAAATATAAACTTAATATTTTCACACATTTAAGAAACGAAGTTTATTTTTGTTTTGATCGCGCGGAGAAGTTTTGTGGAAATTAATTTATTTATTTTATCTGTCAGCACACACAAATAACAGATGATAGATCAGTACATGTGTAAATGTAGTTACGAGCCTGAGGGCGCGAATTCTACGCAATATTATTGGCAAACTTTGATCACTTATAACTCAAAAACTATTGTAGCCTCGATATTTTTGTATTAAAATTTTTTACTCCATTTTGCCTCTAGAATACGCTACTAAAATGTTGTACGGAGGTTTGTGAGACACCCTGTATATTTTTATTTTTTAATGTATTTAAAAAAATTTAAATAATCCTCAAATTCACGTTTCAGAACTGTAAGGATCACGTTGTCAACTGCAGTATCACTGGTATACTTCGCGAATGCATATCACCCCGAGTGTTCAAAGGCAAATCCAAAGAGAAGGCGAGCAAGAACAAGAATACCACAAGTAATATTTATTATGGGAAAATTTGTTTTCTCTCGCTATTTTGTTGAGAATCTATGGGTATGTTCATTCCTTGGGATCGGAAGTAACGCGTCTATTTTTTTTTTTTTTTTGACAGGAACCAGTAGTCGCATGGCGGTCATTCAACTGATCAACTTAGGTATCACGCAAGTCCTAGTTAAACTTTTAATTACTCTGCAACATGCAGACACTATCACGAGCGAAGTACTCACTCAAGACATTCTCTGGATTTTGGGCCAGGTGATTTTTTGACGCACTCTAATATAATTTCTTTTTAATTTTATTTTTGCAATCACACAGAAACGATTATATTGCTTATCGCTCTTTCGCTACTTCTGCGGAAAGTTACACTTTTGGCACGTTACATAAATGCACAACAGAACTTTTATCGATCACACTGCGTATATTTTCTATCATATTATTGTAAAAATATTTTTTTAATTTCAATTTTTCTCGTATAAAAAGTATTTATTTCAATTATTTTATATTATTATATTTCTTTTTATTACGTTGTTATTTTTATTCCGCAAAATCATGAAAATATCCGTAAAATATAAAGCGACAAAAAATGAAAAATAAATAATATTATATTGTTGAGATTTTGCAATCTTTTTCAGGTGGCTCAAAGGGATCAGAAATTTGTGTCAAAAATAAAATTGCTCAACTCCGTAAAAGTGTTCCACGTGTTGTTAAAACAACATTACAACAACAGCAAGACATTATTGTCGCTACTGTTGATCATCAAAACTCTTGCTAAAAATTGTAAGCAACCATTTCTTCAATATATAATTTGTTTATGCATTCGAGGACAATATAAGCTGTTATTTCTTTGGCAGCTTTTTCCTTACAAACGCTAGTGAAAGACGGCATTACTAGCACCTTGGAAAAAACATTCGTCAGTGTCGGTTATACGCCACACTTGAAGTTGAAGACATTGTTAGAGTGCTTCAAACATTTAACAGTTAATAGTACGTACGTTCACACATAATAATTAATATTATTTTTTTTACTAATTACATTGTATCTTCCTCTGTGACATCAATCCAACATTTTACTTATAGAACTTTGCTGCAACAAATTCGTTAAAGTCGGGATGGTATATCTGCTGATGCGCATCTTCGAAAGATGGGAGAGATTCGACGGGCAGATGCGACTGAAGATTTGTAATCACGCTCTTAATACGCTTCAGCATCTCTGCATTATAAGTAGGCTTACTAACACAAACTCCTCATAGAAAATTCCGACGTTTCTTAAAGAGAGAAAAAATACTAATTGCGTATTATATTTAGATTTATTGTCCTCTACTAACGTACTCTTGAAGGTAGCATGTTTTTTTGTCCCATTACCTTCTAGAAGCTGGAAGGAAGGCTATCAAGTCGAACAATGGCCTACAGCTACTGTACCGGTTTTGTACGAATTGTCCAGAAGACAAGGCTTATGACTGCCTGCTGTCGCGTATCTGTGGGATAATCAATCAGTGTCTGGAGAAGAGGGAGCTACCGGTACCCGAAATGTCGCCCGCGAGGTGAATGAAACGTTCGAGGTCATTTTGACCATGTATCTAATGATAATTGAAATACGCTTATAATTATTTTGTATATATATTCTGCGATGCGTACGCGAAAGATGCCTTATTTTTACATATAATTATAAAAGTGTATTATATTGAATATTAGGCTATTTATTGTAATGCACAAGTATATTCGTATACATAATTAGATTTTGCTTTTAGAACACAAAGTTTAAAAATTTGTATATATATACAGTATAATTATTGTCATAAATATTTTTATATTCTGATTTTATTATATTATTATCTTAGCAAAATTATGTTAATTAATTAAAACTGATAAAGAGTCATGTGTATTTATGTTGTATCAAACACGATATGTTTTGGTTGCTCGTGTTTTCTCGTTTTTTAATATTATTATGGAAATCGCGTATTGCGTAAGAGAGATAACGGTAGTCTCGTTACGCAATATTAACGGACTTAGTTAAGAACTAATGCATTGTAAATGGCATGACGGTGCCTTGTTTACGTTATGACCATCATTGGCGGACTAAATTTTCGATCAGTTCTTTTTGCATGCAGATTCGTTTTGCCCGAAGCGAATGTCAGGGCGAACAGTGCTGAAAGCGGTAGCGACATTGACAGCCAGGTGTGTATGCTTCTTCGCATCAAAACGTTACGAGACCGAATTAAAATATGCGTTCGTTAATGTAGCGTGTATTGTATTATGCTTAACAATTTTTGCTTCGTATATAAAATGTCATGCTGTTCCTTCCAATCATTTTATACAGTAACATTAAATATTCGTAAATATTTTGATTTTCGGACAGGCGAACAGCGTGGCTTCCAACGGTAGACTATACAGCGATCTCGATTCCGGCGATGATGAGGAAAGCCATGACTCTAGGAATATGATGGATAATGCGATTCACGTGGGCGACGAGGTGGACGAGAGCAAATTCTTCGCTGGAGTCTTTACCACGCAGAGATCTGAAGAGGATCTCGTTGGGTATGTAAAAAATTGTTTTCTCAAACGCGTAGATTCCGATATATTATTATAAATATCATTAACATTTTTTTTTCTTTTAGATACCATACGTTCTTCAAGGAATTGGGCAGTTTGCGATCACAATTGCGCATCGCCGGGTTGTCAAACATCAAGCTAACCGATCTTTGTTTGGTAGAGGATGATCGGATCAGCTCTCAGCTCACGAAGAACGGAAAGGCTTTGATCAAAGACTTTTCAAAATCTAACGGTGCGGTAAAGGACCGAATCACAAGCGACACGCATGGTTTGAAGATTTTACAAGACGTGTCGACAAACGTCACGGATCGACAAGCGTATTGCGCTGTGGCGAGCAAGGTGAGAAGCATTATCGGTTTCGTCAAGGTCGCCTATCCGGACCTGATCGGTGGCGACGGTTTGGGGAAAGCCGAGCCGCTCAACGCCAAAGATAGGAAAGTTTGTCGTGCAAAACTGCTGACCTGCGTGGAACGCGGCCTCCACGCCGCCACCACCGTCCAAGAAGTCGTCTACGATCTCGACGCTCTCGCAAATACCGCTTCCCGGCGAACGTCGAACGATGAGCGGCTTCTCGGCAATTGGGATGAGAACAAGATCGTCAGCAAGCACAACTCGATGCACGCGAGACAGTTGCAGTTCGAGTCTAGATTCGAAAGCGGAAATCTAAGGAAAGCTATTCAGGTATAGTCCGGTTCGCTACTCACGCTTTACGTAATCGATTATGCTCGTCTTACGCAAGATCTAGTGGTAACTTCGTGCAGCGATCTCGCACGGATTATCCTAGGATATAGAAATCCTGGAATTTTCTTTATTTTATTATTTTATTTTTGAAAATATTATGATTATTTTTTCTGCCTTCTAATTGTGACTCTTGTATGCAGATAGACCAGCGAGAGTACGACCTCATCCTCACGCCGGACGTCAACAGCGGTTCCAGGCATCAATGGTTCTACTTCGAGGTCTCCGACATGGAGGCGAACGTGCCGTACACGTTCAATATAATCAATTGCGAGAAGGCCAACTCGCAGTTCAATTTCGGCATGAAACCGATATTGTTCAGCGTCACGGAGGCGCGATGTGGCAGACCGGGTTGGGTGAGAACCGGCGTCGACATCTGCTACTATCGGAACTGTTACCAACGACCTGCGAAAGGGAAGACGTATCTGACAACGTCCTTCACGGTCACGTTTCCGCACACGCACGACGTCTGTTATCTGGCGTACCATTTCCCGTACACGTACAGTCGGCTGATAACCAACATCTGGAAGTGGACGAGGAGCGTCTCCGCGAAAAACATGTACTTTCGCGCGGAGACACTCTGCGAGACCTTAAACGGCAACGAGAATCCCGTGCTCACCATCACGTCACCGGATTCCCAGACCAATCCTATACAAGTGAGAATTTCGTTCTCCCTCGAATAATGTAAATTTTGCTGTAAGTCGTTCGATTCTCGCAGTAGATATTTAAAGTCGCGTGTGTCGTCTCATTTCCAGAATCGAAAGATGATCTTCTTAACGTCCAGAGTGCATCCTGGTGAAAGTAACGCGTCCTGGGTGATGCATGGAACCATGGAGGCTCTTTTAAGCGACAGCCAATACGCCAGCAGTCTACGTGACGATTATGTGTTCAAAATAATTCCTATGCTAAATATAGAAGGAGTCGTGAACGGCTGGTGAGTTAACGATTACATATTTCGCCGCTTTTTTATCGAACGAAAATCATGGCGGAATATTTCTAACTCTTGCCTGATAGAAGTTTCTAACTTTAACACTTAAGAATGGAACGGTGTAAGGGAACACGTGGCCGCGCGCCACGTCGTAAGATTGTAATTGTACCTTTATTAAAGTTTAGTTATACAAGTCGCACATTCGCGCCGTTGTACGTATAATTAATATGGAAGTGACTTACCGTAGCAGTTAGAGAACAACATTTCAGTTGACGAAACTACGTACGCCAATCATCATACGTCCGAATGACCAAAACGTTAAAAGACTGACATTCGCGATCCTTTTAATATCCATCGTCCCAAGAATATCGAGAACTATTGGACTATCGAACGTTTCGTCTTGCAGACGTATAGATATACGTTAAATATGATGATGATTATTTCCTTATGAAGATATAAGACGCTGGCGGACGTGCCGGTAATTTAACGTCGATAGTAGAACCTAGGGCCACGTTTTTATTTTCCCCGATTTTTCTGAATTTTGATATTGATATTGAATGTGACAATTAATTATTAGAGATGGCAAAATCAAAACGAAGAATGAATTGAAACGATGATAAAACAGATTCGTCCGCCGGCGTCATCGTATTTCCTTATGAAGATATAAGACGCTGGCGGACGTGCCGGTAATTTAACGTCGATAGTAGAGCCACCTAGGGCCACGTTTTTACTTTCCCCGATTTTTCTGAATTTTGATATTGATATTGAATGTGACAATTAATTATTAGAGATGGCAAAATCAAAACGAAGAATGAATTGAAACGATGATAAAACAGATTCGTCCGCCGGCGTCATCGGTGATTCAGAATGAACTAAATAATCGTGTAAATGCCCTTGCGAAAATGTACAGCTTGTCGAGTAACGTCGGCAGGAGAATAATTCGTCCTTTCGCTTGATACCAATCACGGCTTCTATCTTTTCAACAGCTTTGACAATATTATCATTTTCGAGCCGCGTTTCAAAGCGCCGAATAATTCTAATGGATGATCCGAAATCATTCATCTCTGCCTGCCGCCGACCGAGAAAGCTGGTATAAATCGTGCTCCTCTCTCTCTGATCCAAAAACTATCGAGCATTGTACCGGGGGTGTACATCTTAAATTAGAGCTAAACGGCGAGCGGCGACAACGGCGGCGACAGCTCGCCGCCCGTGTCACGAAACAAACTCGTGAGATATACATATATACCTAGTTCCTCAAGAATGTCGATCTGTGTGTATGTATGTGTATGTGTGTATTGTGTATATGTATTTGTCACTTATACGACGCTAGATAACGCGACGTTGTCTAGGAAGGAAGTGAAGCGTTACTTGGACGGAGGGTCTAATACTTTGCCGTTGGTGCGCACTTTGATGTTGTACCTGTAGGCCGGTTCCGCCTCTGGCAGGATCGTACTGCTGTCGTCGTCCTGGTCCTTCATCATCGTCGCGTCCGCCGCCGGCTGGTCGTTGACGTAGTCCTGCATGCTGTCGTACGGCCCGATTGTATGGGCGTCCTGGAGACCGTTGTTGGGTAGCTCGGTCTCCGCGGCCAGGTCGCCGTAATCGGGGGATTCGCGATGCTCCATCCTTATCTCTGAAGAGGAGGAGGAGGGGACGACAGGGCGGGACGCCGACGGTCGTAGAATTTCGCGGGTCTCGAGACCGTCGAAGACGCTGTCCTTGCGCGCTTGGGACGCCACGGCGGCGTGCTCGAACAGGCTCGCGATATCCGGGATGTGCTCCGGTCGAGTGTCGTCCACGTCGTCGACGGCCGAGCGCTCGTGCTCGTGACCGTCGTCGTACAGCGACGTTGCCGACGACGTCGTCGTTCCAACAGCGTGTTGCTGCTGCTGATTGCCAGATGCGGGAGCGGCCGTGGTGATCAGCCTGCTGACGACCGGGTCCTCTAATAGTTTCTCGCCCGCTTCCGGTGGTGTCGTCTGCTCGTCCTGGTCGTCGGTACCCGGATGGTTATCGTCGACGTAGGTACTGTCTTCGCGATCACTCGTTTGGTCGTCGCTGGCTGGCGCCGAGGTGGTCGTAATGTAGGGCCTGTGATTTCTGAAAAGGCAAGTGACTCGTTTAGAGAATGATCGTTGTCGCCTCGTGTTTTACAGGAATTGAGAAAATCTTCGTGTGAATCTCTTAGGAATATTTACAATATTAAATCAGCACGTTGTTAATATTATCTTTACTTAAGCGTTATATTAACAGAGCATAGAGAAGCGCAGTTTCACTCTTGCCGATGGATTATAATGTGAGCCTTTTTACATAACTGTTATCAGCATCGAGAGAGTGAAGCCATACTTTTTGCGCACACGTGCGTGTATGTGTGTGTAAGAAGTATATCGTTTGTCATCAAGTACTGTGCGTCAAGAAGCGAGAAAATAATGGCATTACTGAAAATAAGCTATCAAGGCATCTGCATAGAATTCCGTATTACGACTGAGCTATTCTCAACCATTACACTTTTATTCCAAAGCTATTAATGGTGCGTAGAAGATCTCGAAGGACTGGTTCATACCAAAGATCTCGCTAGTGTTTTGATCGCCAATAATGATCGTTTTCCACTCTATCGTAAACTGCGAAAGAAAAAGCACCTGTCGTTTCAAGCTACTTTTATATCTCTCGCTAGAACGTACGGAGGAAAAAAATTTACTCCGCCGATTAAGTATCGCATCTCGTTTCGCGTTCTCGTAAATTCGTTGCTAAAAAAAAGATAGCCAAGTTTTAATCTGTAAGCTAGATCTGGATTACAACGATATAGTCGAGACGATACAAGCACGTAAATACATATTCGCATGTAATAAAAAATTTAGAGTCTTTACATATTTCAGTAGCACAACGGATAAACACATTTGATTATCGCGACGCATTTGCATATCTTATCGTCGGAGGATCGTTTACTTCTTGTTTGTGTAAAAGCGAGAATCATCCTAAGTACATTGGCATTCCCAAGATTCCCTTTTCTCCATCTTTCCCTTTCTTTTTCCCTTCCCTCTCTCTCTCTCTTTCATTCTCTTTCTCTCTTTTCCTTTCGTGTATTTTTGTGACAAGTATTATCTCACCTCTTACCCCTGAGTCGCGGAGACTGGAATGCTGCCGTAGTTGTAGTAGTAACATCTTGTTTGCTCGCAGATAAAGTCCTTCACGAGGGTGCAGTCCTGCGCCTCCCAAGCTAACGTAGGTGCAGCCATCGCAACGCATCCGTCCGCGCTGCTGGCATTCCCAAGATCCCCTTTTCTCCATCTTTCCCTTTCTTTTTCCCTTCTCTCTCTCTCTCTCTCTTTCATTTTCTTTCTCTCTTTTCCTTTCGTGTATTTTTGTGACAAGTATTATCTCACCTCTTACCCCTGAGTCGCGGAGACTGGAATGCTGCCGTAGTTGTAGTAGTAACATCTTGTTTGCTCGCAGATAAAGTCCTTCACGAGGGTGCAGTCCTGCGCCTCCCAAGCTAACGTAGGTGCAGCCATCGCAACGCATCCGTCCGCGCTGCCGCTGTCGCCACTGAAACGGGGAAACTAGCTTTTTGGAATTTAAACGAGAATACATGACATTGTCGTTAGCTATTCCACGCACGAGTGTCCGAGTGTTAAAGTGGTAGATTGCGGAAAACGGCTGAGATAATCATTATTCATGACGTGATACGGTTGAGTTAGCATACGATTCCTTTTCGCGATCGGGCAAAATTGATTTTATTGAATAAACTAGTTTGTTTTTGCGAGAATGCGTGATGTAATCGATACTTTTTCAGTGGCAGATGTTTATAATGTTTTATTGACTATCAGCAGATATATATCATAGAATCTTTTAGACTCTTAATAATTAATAGTATAAAGCAACATAATTAAAATGACGTACTCGTACATTTTTTAATTTTATATTTTTGGTGGATTCGTGATAATAATAGTTGAACATAATTTGCTGAGAATTAAAGCTTTCAAGTTTCTCTTTAATTTTTATAATTTTTAATATTTTTTTAAAAATTATACTAACTTTTCTTGGGACGAAAAAAATTACTATTAAAGATGTTACCTTTCACGTGCCACTCTCTGAGGTTCGGTGCCGGGTGGCACATCGACAGCTCTGTTGCCAGGTCGCTTCAGCATGTAATCGAAAGTAACGTTGAACGGCAATCCCGTGCTCATCCACAAAAACATGTCGGTGCCCAATTTGTTGCCGGAGGTCCAAAAGTCGTATTTCGTATAACCGGCATTTTTCAGATATTGCGTCATCGTATCGGCCTTCTCCTTCGTTTCGAAGGACGCCAATTGAAGACCCAGCGAACGGCAATACTGATACGCCAGGAAATAATTGAGTTCCGGACTGTAGGGATTCATCCGCGAGACGAAATACTGTATGCCATCCAGCTGAATCGTTGTGATTCTCTGGGCTGTAAACACGTTCACATATCTTTAATACGAATATCTTTAAAGGCTTAAGAGCTTTCTATTTGCATCATGTTTTCTTTTAAGTCATGTTGAAGTCGTACTACATCAAACCATTTAAATTGCGACGCGTGCGAAATTAGGACATTTCAGTTGATACAATTCTCAGGCTAATTCGCGTCATAATTTTACTGCAAATGGAGTATTCACGTACCAGACTATTAAATTAACGCATACGAAAGCAGAGAAATATTATATTTCTATTTAAAAAAAAATTAATTTTAGACACAAAATATATATAGTATATACTGACATTTTTGTTATCATATAATACTTTTTAAATTTTTGCATTTTTATATTTGCGCGTGTTTTAATTATATATATATATAATATTTTCTACAATTTTTAAAATTATATATTTCAGATTATTTAATATTTTATTTAAAAAGATATCTTCTTTTCTTTCGTAGAACATCTTATAGTTCATCGAAGCACGTGTCTGTCGTTGAACAAGGCCGCAAATGGCAATAGGGATACGGGAAAATGCGTTATGTGAATTCTAATGTAGCTAGTATTCCATTTTAGTATCGTAGTGCGAAACGATCAAGAATCCCGTTACGATTAATAAAAACGTTCACATGTCTTTCAATGTAATATGCAGATTCGATCGTTATAAAGAGACAATAGCATTGAGATTATTCCAACTTAGAGATTTTTAGATAATTTGTATACAGTAGTAATCTCTCTCATTTTTTTTTTTAGGGACGATAAATATTCCGATTATATAACGCGCAAGAAAGTCATTTAAATTTATATGCTAAGAAGCGTGTCATTCATATCACGCTTTTGTGCGATACAATAGCGATGTAAAACGCAGCAAGTGGCACGAAATTAAAACGATTATTTCAACGTCGTTCATGCCCGTCTCATAATACGATTTTAATTTCACTCTAAATGCGTACCCTGACGCGGCGCGTTTTTTAACCGGTCTCACAATGACTCGAAGTTTTATGAGAAGGGCAGTGTTCAACGCGATATATCGAGTTCATTGAACCGCCATGGTTATTTGGTTAACTGTATTTATGAATTATGAAGTGCCTCCCGAGATCCCCGAATAGCCCATAGATGTACGAGTGTCGCAACTAATGCAAGTCCCCCTCATTGTTTCTAAGTCGCGATTGTTCTCCGCTCTGCTACTTTTACGACTGCGAAGACTGTCGATCGTCAGAGAAAGTAATTTTTTAAATTCAAATCAGAAGATATAATCTTTTAAAAAAGAACGACGATATAAACGCGCGTGTAATGATTATATGTCTGAAATCGGTGAATCGAGAGAGATATCTCTTTAATTTCACATACGCAAGAGAGTTATGAGACGAAATTGAAGGCTTTAATACAAAAAGACGACGAGTTTATCTCATTGATCGGAAAAGATTCAAAGAAGGCTTAATGATTGATAAATCGAGATAAGAAATTAAAGGGCCAAACAAATGGAGAAGCGCAATGTGAAGGAGAATAAAAATAGCCGAAAAAAATTGATATTATTACTCGTTAAATTTTCAAAGAAACGAGATGAATTCACGATATCTTCATTTACGTCATTTCGAAGAAATCGAAGTGTACGAATCGATTAAAATCTTTCGATACCAAGACGTAAGGCAGTTTCGCGTGCACGCAAATTGCATCGTTTATACGGTGAAGGCAAGACCGGAACGAGATGGCCGGTCGGCAAAAGTCTAGTCACGGCTGTGGATACTTCGTAGAGCGCATCCGGGGCAAAAACGTTCCGGATTGTGAAGTTGAACGTGCAGGTGGTGGTAAATGACCCGAAGGCCTTGAGACGTCTGCCGCCGGTGTGCGCGCGCGAAAGAAGAGGCGACTAGTCGCTTTAACTACAGCTTCGTTCACGTAATGCGTTCCCGGCCGCCGACTAATGATTTTCGATGAGATCCGACTCACACAAGGAACGAGATCCCGTACATAAACGGAGCTCGAGCCTCTGTAAACGATCTCGATAAACGTGAATCCGTGTATAATCTCTTTCTTCCTTTTGATTTTTAATAACTCTGCGGATATCGTCATCCATAAGATCATTTCGAGAGATCGTTTTTACTTATGAACATTCCGATATACATATATATACACACACAGAGATCATTCATAAATATAATAAAATTTATCTTCTTCAATGTGTGAATATTTTGCTTAAGAAATTATCGTTTTACTTTTGCATTTTAAAAATAACATAATTTTTCATATTTTTAAGATATTTGTATAGGCTATATATATATATATTTCATTATACAAGATAGAATTTTAAAAGGATAGAAAAGAGACTTTGTAAGAGCATAATACATGCAGTATGTCGTTTGCCTGAACCATCGATTATTTCCGGTTCAAACTTCAAATGCGTCGACAGTTAGTGCATGGTTTTCTTTAATGGCAGGAAAATGCAAGGCTGAGAAACGTCAAATAATATACAAAGATTTTGAAGTACATGTTGAATGGAAAAAATATAAATATCAGAGCCACACGTACTTCGAGTCAAATGAAGAAAATTAAAAATGATATAATAATACATAATGTATCCTTGATATTCTCTCTAATATTCTTAAATATATCTATCTCTCTTGTTGACATGAAAAATATTTACAGTAAAATTTTATAGAGGAATAAATAAAATATTTAATCTCCAAATAAAAAGAATATTTATAACATAAATATTTAAAAATCCAGAATTTTCTCGATTTTACTCAATTTTATCTCTTTCTCGCGAGCTTGATAAATTTTCTTTAGTGCTAGAATATGAATTTTACGCCGTAGTGACGAACATTGCTACGCGCAACATTTAGATAAACGGTCAGAAAGCTGCGTAGGAGACACTGACGATCGAACGGAAGAGTGTATCAACGTGCCCGTGATGAGATCAAGAGAACAATCATTTCATAATAATGAAGATGTATACGTCACCGACGGGTGTTGAAGTGAGCACGACCGAACCGTGGCATTGTGTCGCGATGTTGTAAAGGGTTACTAACCTGAGGCGAAGGCCGCGACGACGAAGAGCAACAGGACGATCTTCATGTTGGCGTGCCGATTGTACTGGCGATCAAGCAGTCAGTCGTTTCCGATTCTCGTCTCCCTCTCCCTCTCTCTCTCTCTCTCTTTCTCTCTCTTAGAATACACCGGATGTTAGTGTTAGGGTCGCGTTCTCGGACTGGCCTCGCGCCGCGCCGTGAGCCCCCTTAAGAGTCTTCTGCCCGGATCCCGGAGGAGGGGGTCGTTGAAGATGATTCACTGGCTAACCTAGAGCAGGAGAGCACCAACGCGCGAAGGGGACGGCGGCAAAAGCAGCGGATGACAACGACAACGACGATGACAACGACAACGACGATGACATGGAGATGAATCGAAAAGTGATCGAGTCACGTCACGAAAAAAAAAAAAAAAAAAATCGCGGGTTACAAAGTCGAAGAAAGAAAATGCGATGAAAAGTCTATATTGAACAACGAATCTGGAAGAATATCTTATGATCGATGACGCCAGCATGCTTGATTTGGCATGGGTCGCCCTCCCCCTTCCTCCCCCTTTCCCCTCGACTGCGAAGATGATGTGCAAAATCGAGGATATATATTAGAGCCTGAAGAGAGATACTTCTTCTCGTCGTAAAGTGTTTGAAGAGATAATCGTGTGTTTGACGGCCTTTGTCGACAGATGAAAAGACGTATTTTTAGACACTCTCGACGCGACGTTATTAATGATTAAATATTTAGATACTTTCGCCGTATAATAACTCGCAAATAATTTTATCTTTACCGTGAATGAATATCCCGAGCAATATATATTATACATTTTCATTCTAAAATAAGTTAATCAATCGCGCGATCGAACATCTATCATAAAATAATTATTTTTGCAACAAGAATCATGGTTGTTTGCTCCACTTGTCTTAGAAGTCTGTTAGCGTTGTTTTATACGTTTTATATATCTCGCGTTTTTATACGTTTTATATATCTCGCGTTGACGCGATTGTAAATTAACGGATAACATGTAATTACATCGGGTTAATTACATTAATTAGCGCGAAGTTGTCGAATGAATAATGTTTGCTCACTTATAATCCATTTGCAAGTGGCATATCGCGTGGATGTGAAATAGTGGAAGAACGAGTAATGGCAAAAACGATAGTTATCCGTGTATCGATCAATGTAGCATTTATGTTGATCTCATTAATAATATCCGCGTGCGCGAACCCGGTTCTCACTTTGTGCCGACACCGTGAATTCTCTCTCTCTCTCTCTCTCTCTTTCTCTATCTCTATCTCTCTCGTCGCGGCGTCTCTCTCGCCGCGTTTTTTCGCCCGCGGTGCGGAATTTTACTTCGCCGCGTCTTCACGGTTCTCCGTGGATTTGTATCGACGGTGAACAGCAAAAAGACGCCGGTTTCAAGGCAGACTTCATTTCTGAGCGCCTTCTCTCTCGGAGGCATCTTCGCGAACGCCTCGATATCATCCACCCCTAAAAATCGCCTCGCATCATTCGTCAGCGAAACAACACGCACGATCGTGCCACTTAAATTCAACGCTAATTGCGACAAATCGCGTATCTTTGAAAAGAAAATCTGTAAATTATACCCTCTTGACTATACAGTACAACTCGGTTCGCATACGTTACATCGTATCTGTACCTCGAGTTTTGAACGAATAATCAACGGATCAACTGATGCAGAAGATCTCGGAGATCTCGATTGTCAAGATCTACTTGATCTTAAATCTCGTCCATCGGAATATATCGATTTATCTATTGACATTTATAGATTTTGCTATAGAATCGCGAGTGAAGCATCTCGGAGAGGTATGCCGTTCGACAGGCTTCACTCTTGTAGAAGAGGCGACTATGAATTTTCTGCGAGAGTCGAGACTTGAACCGGTTCGCTTCTTCGAGGCCTTTGGCGCCGTCTATTCTTACGGAGCTTCTTCTCGCGCTCGATTTCTCTCGCGGGAGCGCATCGTCATCTCGCAAGCGCATCTCCCCGCGAGATCAGATGGAATTCTGATCCGAATGCATGCTTCGCAAGATATCGGCCGTGCGGCGCGTGCGAAGACTACCGGGGTGCGTCTCAATTAAGCTTACGCTCGTGATTAATGACGCGAGATCGTATCGTCGAGACGGTCGCAAACGGGGCGTGTCGACGACTTATCGAGTATTTCACTAGCATCCATTCGCATATACGATGTCGTCGATGATTTTGCGAGGAACTCGTCACGTACATTTTGCCATTATCTCGGATTATCTGTGGTATTCTGTAATCTTGAGTAAAAACAGTGATATTTTATCCTTTGCGCACGACGTTTTAAATCTCTTCTTTTTTACCTTTTAGCGTGCCAAGACATTTTTTCTCGATCATTGAAATTTCTAAATATTTAATTGAATCATTCAAATATTTCTTTCGTGTTCTGTTACAAATTTTTTTCGCGTCCCGAAGATTACGTTATTAATTTGCAGATATTTCGATGCATACTGGACCAATGATGCTGTATGGCCGCGCTTTCGATAACGGCGATACAGCATCATTGGTCCAGTACGCATGGAAATATCTGCGAATTAATAACGTAAACTTTGGGATGCGAAAAATATTTATAATAGAACATGAAAGAAATATTTAAGTGGTTCAATTGGGTCGCAAAAGGGTCCGTGCTACTCAAGGTAGACTTCATGTTTGATCCTCGTGTGTTCCCTCTGTTCGAGTGATCGCAGCGATCCTGCTCTCGAAATACCGCGGACAATCGATCCTTCTCTCGTCCGCCCTCGATCGTTTGATTATGATACGGGAAACCGGTACGAAAGGCTACATATGTACCCCAGAAAACGCGGCGCGTTCTCTTCTCCCTCGTTACCGTCCGTATACGGTATTATCTTTCTCATTTTCTCTCTTTCTCGCGAGATTCTGCCCGGTGGCAGAAGGCAGAATCGCCTGCTGGATCAATGATCGGATACGCGATGTGTTATTTCTGGCATACATGGCGCGCCGTGAGCAAAAAGTGCCTCGCGTGACATCCAAGACCTACCGCACCACGGAAACCATCCTCTTCTCCGGTCTCACCGCGCAGCATCCGCCTGTTGCATCCTTTGCCGCGCCGCGAGCTTAATGACAGGGTAGCGTAAACCGTGCCGGTTACCTTCGCGGACACGATTCGAGAATGCAGATGAATCGACCGGACGCGGGCAGCGGTGGCCAAAGAGGCGTTTTGCGGTCGCTATGTTATATATATTGCGGCTTCTTTTAAATTAAATGCATTTTAATGTAAGACGCGATTCAATAATCTTTATATCAAAAATTTGCCATTTGTAATTTGTATTAAAAATGGATCTACGCTAGATCCTAATATATTTTTTATTAGATTATTTTAATATAAATAACCAGCTGGTTAATTCGCTCATAGTGAGATTCTTTACTCTTGCTTTTTTTATCATAGTAAATTGGATTTATATTAGTATGATATATTTTTTAATATTATATAAAAAATATTATGATAGAAAATATTTTATTCAATGGGTGCGTAAATTCTCTTAAGATAGAATTCGGTTTAAGCAGCGTTCGCGAATGAAGGAAACATCCTTAAATTTCTGTACATATCGAGAATGCGACGTGAATGCCCAAACTTGTATTTCGCCGCAAAAGTCACGTTTCGCCGGTTACCTTGGTATAGGTCAGTTTAACAGGTTGGGTTCCCATCGCGGTACTCCCGTGGGAATGCAACGCGTCCGCTCGAGTACATTTATTGTTAAATCCGGCGACGCTTACAGAGCGTCTTCTCCTCACGAATCTCTCTATGTGGTGGTGGATAAGAGACGAAAGCAGAAGCTTTGGTGCGCTGGATAAACAAGCGGTCCTCCAGCAGCATCATCACCATAGCCATCGTCGTTGTCTCTTCGTCCTTTCATTCTCTCTTACCGCCACTTTTTCTCGCTCTTTCCTTCTCTCGTTTTGTTTTCTTCTTCTTCTTCTTCTTCGTCTTCTTCTTCCTCCCTTCTTTTGCTTGATCCGTTCCATGCGAGGGAGACGCTAGGAACAACTTCTCACAGCCGCGCCGAGGGACTTGGTCCTTTTTTTCTAAAACAAAAGCAAAGACGGGGGTTCGCCGCGGTGGCCAGCAACGGCCAGCAGCGACCATCGTCGGCCGCGCGACGAGGTGGAGGAAGCGTGGAAAGTGATGGAGCAGGAGATGCGAGAGGGAGGATGCCACAGGGGGATTCCTGCCGAGGTCTATTTCAGGCTCTCTGCCAGCAATCGCGCTATGTAAGGCCCTCTTCTTTCCTTCCCTCGCTTACTCCTCCTCTCATCCTTTTTTCCGCTCTGCCTCTCCTCCCCCTCACTCTTGCCCCGGTGCCCCTACGTCTGTCTCCACCGTCCGGCTCTCTTCTTCTCCTTTTTCTGTGTGTACGGAACTCTCGGTTTTAGCTCGCGAACAGCGTCTCGGACCGAGACGATCCGAGGAGCCGTACTGCCCCGAAGGCTTCGACGGCGTCCGTTCCTCCATTTTGATACCTCTAGGACAGTGATCCTCATGCGATTTCTTCTCGAATATATTTCAAAATTTATCTACCCAATAAAGATATATCTGGAATCAATTCCAGGCAACAAACTAACGCGAATAAAGTCTCTAAAATGACATATTTCGCATAAAATTGAGATTAATCGACAATTTTATTACATTTTACGTTTTATATTTCACATTATTTATTTATATTATATTTTGCAAAAATATATAACCCACGTAAAAATGCTATCCATTTCGTCTTTTAAATTAGCGATATTCAAGGCAGACTTCATTTCTGAGCGCCTTCTCTCTCGGAGGCATCTTCGCGAACGCCCCGATATCATCCACCCCTAAAAATCGCCTCGCATCATTCGTCAGCGAAACAACACGCACGATCGTGCCACTTAAATTCAACGCTAATTGCGACAAATCGCGTATCTTTGAAAAGAAAATCTGTAAATTATACCCTCTTGACTATACAGTACAACTCGGTTCGCATACGTTACATCGTATCTGTACCTCGAGTTTTGAACGAATAATCAACGGATCAACTGATGCAGAAGATCTCGGAGATCTCGATTGTCAAGATCTACTTGATCTTAAATCTCGTCCATCGGAATATATCGATTTATCTATTGACATTTATAGATTTTGCTATAGAATCGCGAGTGAAGCATCTCGGAGAGGTATGCCGTTCGACAGGCTTCACTCTTGTAGAAGAGGCGACTATGAATTTTCTGCGAGAGTCGAGACTTGAACCGGTTCGCTTCTTCGAGGCCTTTGGCGCCGTCTATTCTTACGGAGCTTC